TGAGTAAGGTCCAAACAAATAATGAACAAACTGTTAGAAATACTTGAAATAGTAAAGCTTGCTTTAGCTTGGTTCTCAGTTTAGGCTAATTTTTTTTATGCTTCTTTAAATGTTAATATACATCTTGGATTGCTTTTTACAGTTGATTAAAATGTTTTCAGTCCTTATGATTTTGAGATGTAGGTATTGTGACCTCAGGAAGGCCTGGAAGTCTTACAATTTTTGTCCAAGTATTAAATAACTAAGATAGTTATACTTTAGTGCATCCACTTTGTACACAGAATAAGTTGAGGAGTAATAGGCTGAGAATGGTTGATGGTTGCAAACTTATCTCTCTAAACAATTAAACATAAAAAGGATTTACTCTGCCACTCTGCTTCTACGGTTCAAATGCACCAACATTTTTGAATGTTTATATTGAACATTGAATGTTTATAATGTTGATAGCAACTGATGCATGGTACAGAAACCATGAAAGAATATAATCCATGAGCAGTGTGATATATCAAGAATCACAATGCAAAACTTAAAACTTTGGGATATGAAAAAAAAATCTCTCTCATAATGGTGAAAAAGCGTCACAGTTAAGCCTTGTGGAGCTGTATGGATATATTGCTTTTCACCAAGTCTATTCAAACTCTGTCCCTAAAGTCCAGCTCCAAAACTAGGGTTCTTCATGTACTGAAAATATAATTTTAGCTTCCAGCTTGGATAAGGGAGAATTATTTAATACAGGTTAAGGTTATAAACTCTGTACCACAGAATAAGTTAATAGAGCTAAATCACTACAGATAGCAAGAAGATCGGCATTGTAGTGTTTTTTGTTCTATGGATGAGTGGAAAAGAAACTATGCCATTTAAGAAATATAGTTGATACAAGGAAGAAGTAGAGATTTACCACTAAGGCATAATGCAAAGGTATATTTTTTCTCTGTGATGTGCTCATCTCCAAGATAGACACAACTAGGAAGAACTCCATATGCTGTTCACAGAAAATATGATCTCAGTTTTCAGAGGGCAAAAATTATCAAACCTAGTCTTCTTACTAAACCCACTTCTTACTAAATCTGAATATCCTAAGACCCTACCAAAAGGCTTAAGATTGCTTTTTTACTGGGATGGACAAATTCAACTGTTGTGGTCTTATTTGAGTAAAAGTAACTTTACCATGTTGATTCACAGTGGTGGCAGATGCAGCTGTGTTAATTTTGTGCATTGAAAAATTAATAAAGTTAAACATAATCCTCTCCTCTCATATGTAGGTGCCTTAAATTGTCAGCATTTGGAAGTTTCCCATCTCAGTTTTTTCTGAGAAATTACTGATGTAATTTTATAAATGGTAGAACAAAATTTAGTATGTAGTCTGTCTTTGCTTGTTAAAGTGAACCTTATTATCCCTTTTTTCTGCATGGATATAAATACATAAGAAGACTAGCATTTTGCCAATATTTTTTTGTAAATATTAATGCTAGCATTCATCATCTTTCCCTCTTGTTTGTTTCATTAATATACAGTTTTATGTGAAACCTCAACTATTTTACAGATTAGGATATAAACAAAGATTAGAGTATATGAAGAAAGTTCTTGGTTTTGGAAGGCGTTTATTGCATTTATAAAAACTAATGCATAAGTAGTATTTCTTATGTATTAGTATTCTAGAGTTCATAACTTTCTTCATAGGGATTTAGACTCAACTTAAATGCTCTTATTAGTAACAATTAAAGGACTAATATGAGTTTCATGACCAGAAACATGTACATGCATATATAGGGTTTATTCAGAGGCAATTTAGGGCAATCCCTTACTTACTGCTGTGTTTTTATCAACTTTATCTCTAAGATGTCCTAGTTTTTATGTGTAAAAACGAGGAGACATAATTCACTTAGCCCAAATATTCAAAGTATATGAAAACTCAGTATCTTTTATAACAGATAGTTCTGCTTTGACACATTTTTATCCAGATTATACTGTCTAAAGTATATGGAAATTTGCATATCAGAGATGATGACATGTGGGAAACTGTCAACTGCAATACAGATATCTACTTTTCTTCTTAAAATTCTTTATATTAGTCTTTAATTCTTTATATTAATCATGGAGTGTTTCTAACTATGCAGGTAACAGACATGCATTATGATCCAAGTCCATTTCTTTTTATTGGAAAAGGATGGGCCATGATGTTATTCCATGAGTCTGGATGCATTCAAAATTTGCAATAGATTTGCCTGAGAATGTCTGGTTGTCAGAGGTAATGCAGTAGAAAGGTCAGAATTCTGATGTTTATACTGAAAGTAGAAGTGTAATAAATCCTGCAAAATAACTATTAACATGCACATCATTCTTTCAGAAAGAATTTTATGACCATTATGTCATTCTCATTGATATTCTGTGGAAAGGGCTGTACTGGCTTTACTGAACTGAATACTCTGTGTTAGTTTTGTGTTAGATAATTTCTATTCAGTACAGCATTTAAGAAAAAAATCAAGATTAACACCCAGATCTGCTAAAAAAACTATTATTAACAACTTGGTAAAAGTACATAAATTTATTTTAGTTTCAAGGATATATAGTGATGTTCTTAGGGAATTTTAAGCCTCAGCTATAAAACAGCCCAGCTTTGCATCTGTCACATCTCTTCCCTACATGCCAATTAGGTAAGGCATATAGCTTTTAAAGAATATGTGAAAATGAACAGGATGCTCCTACATCTTTTACAGCTTGTTCCAAAACTTACTTTAGATAACTTTGCTATGATTCTTGTGGTAGCTACAGATATGATAAAAAGGTGTTCTGTTCTTGTGAACTAGTTAAGACTTATTTCCAAGAATTCAATAAGAAATGGACCATAAAGTTCCAAACATTTGATGGCTTTTTTTTTTTTTTTTTTTTTTGGTAATTCCCGTTTTAAGTTACATCACTGTTTTTGCAGGAATTGTAGATGATGCAATGTCTTTATGGTGTTGAGGAACAGAGTCAGTGTAGGTAGCTTGGTGAGCAGCTGCAGTGAGAGCTCTGGGTGTTGGGAGCCATAGTCAAGAGGCCATGGACCTCTAACCCTTTGCATAATAAAGGGTGTGGGGTGCCCTGTGCCCATCCAGGTGACCAGACACTCAAAGACACAGCAGCTGAAGAGCCCAACTTCCATGCATTTAGATTGGGAAAGTATAAAAGTTCAGGATTTCCTCAGTTCAGGGTCCTCCTTAGAGGTACCAGCTCGAGCTTATTTACTTTTTTATATGGTTATTGCACCAAGACTAAATCATTTTAAGGACTGGGACATCTGAGACTCTCCTATAGCGAATTTGGGTTTGAGACAGTAAGGAAACCTAATATAACTGTGTGAATTTGATGTGTGTAGATGCCAAAGGGCCTTGCTCCCAGTTCAGCTGGTCTAAATGTGACTGCCAGAATTGTATGATATTCAGGAATAGTCTATGGGATTGTCTAAGTGAATTCAGATCTCTGGGTTTCACAGTTTGTGTCATTGACCCACAACTAAGTAGTAATTGATGCATAATTACAAATTACAACATCTCATTGCATGAAGTTTTGGTCCATCAGTTACAGTAAAGTATTTCTGGTAACTATCACCTGTTTAAATTTTTGATCTACTTGTGCCAGGAAGGTTTAGCATTATATTTTTTGTCCAACCTGTCTATCATCAGCACTAATTACCTTTATAACTGCAAAGTTTTGTACCCTCAAAAGAATTTTCTACCCTCAAAATGAAACTCCACTTACCCCTCTGCTTGTAACCCTGATGTGGACTTCTGTTCTTCAGGGCTTGTGTGAGAGGTTGCAGTTGCTATTTTCTCCCTTCTGGCCTTCATACAGATTTCTATCCTATAGTGATTACAGTTGCAAGTGGGAATGATGTATGCTTATGTCTCATTCTAACATAGAGATTGAAACACATTTTAATCCAAAGGGCAGCACTGTCAGACACCCCATTTTAAAGACAGGAAAACTTGCATGGTGTCTTCATGGAAATGAATCTGATTGTGTTTGTTTCAGAAGGTGCTTTCTAGAACAACAGACATTTTTCTGCAGTTCTCTAGCCTTGTGAACAACAAGTTATTTCAAATGTATCATTAAATTATTTTAAATGAATAATTGCTGCTTGAGTGTAGTTCACATCCTAGGAGAATCCCCTAACGTCTCACTGAAAATCCTGCACGTCCTAATCATCCTCTGAAATGTGAAGGATTGACTCTTCCACTTCCTGGGATTCTCATTGGTGCCAGGGTTCAGCATGTAGGCTTCCAGAGCAACAGTAATATCTGTCATTTTGAATGAATACAAATCTCTAACAATCCATGTTTGTACAGTCCCAGTGGAAGCGTGTTGTGTCAGCTGTGCTTGCGGTACTTTAAAGGCTTTATTAAGTCAGTTGGCAACACACCCTGTCTCCAGGCACTGGCTTTTATGGCAAAGGACCTAAGAGACTTTTTTGTCCCTTTCCTTTTTTTTTTTTTTTTTTTTTCCTTTTCCCCCCCTCCTTTCTCATGCTAACTAGCTGTCAGAAACACAGGTAGTGAGTTTATAGAAGTCTTATGGGTGTGTTGATACGTTTGTAATACCCACAATATAGTTTGCAGATGAGCATTTTTACCCACCCACACAATCTTACACACACATGTGCACACACTGTCAAGTACCTTTATGCAGTCTGCTATTAATTCTGATCAACTTATTACAACTTAGAAAAACTGTGCAAAATTTATAAAGAATAATAACCAGCTTTCTTAGCCCATGTAGCAATTTGGAAGGAGGCTACAATAAACTGTGGGAAGGTTCTGGACCATGTATTACAGTAAAATTCCATGCATACTCAGTCCAGTGGCCTTTTATGTAAGAACTGTACCTTCTGTTTGCTTTAATGTAGACAAAATTGTTTAATTGGTAAATGTTAAAATATGAGTTTGCTTAAGTCATGTTTTGAGAATCAGATGTTCAAAGACTGAACTTTCCAGTGACATTCAGAATCTTTTCTCTTGCAGCCGTTTCGTAGAGTGACGTTTTCTGTTGTGAGTCAGCCTCAGGACCCGCATCAAGGGTCATTGCAGAGTTGCTATGACAGCGGTCTGGAGGAGTCAGAAACACCAAGCAGTAAGAGTTCATCAGGGCCAAGACTGGGTGCCCTTCCACTCCCAGAGGACAACTACGAAAGGACTACGCCGGATGGCAGTGTTGGTGAGGCAGAGCATATGGAAAATGGTAGGGGCAAACACAACATTCACACACATAATCTCACTAGCAAGTGATACTAAGTAGACTTTTGAAAGGTCAGTCCAAAACCATAAATAAATATATTAAATAATTAATATTACAGTTATTTGGTTTTAAAGTTTGTTAAAATGCAGATATACAAAATAATGGAACATAACACCGCTAATTATAACAGCACTTTCTATTTTTTTCATGACTTAAAATCTATACTGCAGAAGCAGTTAAAACACTGAAAAAAAAAATTATTAGTAGAGGTGTGGGGAAATGGTAATTGAATAAAATTACATACTTTTCATTTTAGATAAAAGACCATAAAGGACATATATATTCATTTCCGTCCATTTTTGAGTCAAAACCTACTTAGAAAATTTCCCAGAATGTAATAGATACAGCATCAGGAAAAGAAAAGAGCATTTTAAAACCACACTCTAGACAATTCTCTTTTCCTAAAAAACATTGTATAGATTGTTTCCAAAATAAAACCCAATGTCAAGTCCATTCTTCATTTTTCAGAATAGAAGAACATTACTTTCCTTTTCTTCACACTTTATTTTGTACAGTACTTTTACAACATCTCATTTAAGTTTGGGGTCCATTTATGTAGAAGGGGAAAATTTTAAATACTTATTTATTCCATAGTAATTTTCCTATTATTAAAAACCAAAAAATGTTAATATAAGTCTCAGGTTAGGTTCTGTTTTTCTTTCTGTTTAAAACTATTCAGGATTAAAAAACCAAAAATACTTATTCATTTTGAAATGTACTTTATAAAACATGAATATTTCACTGTTTTCCATGTTTTGGCCTTGATCTAAAGTTTTATGAAGTCAGAGACTGACTTCATTGTAATTTGATTTGCCCGTAAACAAGAAAATAAATTAATATACGTCAAAGTATACAGATTTTTGATAACCTAAGAAATAATGGGTTTTCTAATTCAATTGTAATCAGTGGGTACATGCAAGAAGGGTGGTGTGTTTTTTTGTTATAGAATGAATTAATTCGTTTGGCTAAGTGCATGTTAGTTTTTCAGAGATTACAAAACAGAATAATTGTTCTTGGGGTTTTGTCTTATCTAAGTTAGACATGTCAACCCATTAAAACTATGTTACTTTTCATGGTAAGATTCTTCCAAATCTAGTATATATTACTGAAGAATGGCTACAGCAGTCTACATATTATTAAGATGTATATCCCAATAGCAAAAAATTAATTCACTAAAAAGGAAGATAGTATTATCCCTCTAAAGATATATTAGGTTATGTATGTTTATACATTTGCATTTATATATTCTCCTTGGTTGTTTATATGAATATATTTGTTTACATTTCATATTTCTGGGGATGTGGTAGGGGGAAAAAGTGATAATGGTATTACTGGAAAAAATGTCAGAAAAAAAAGCTTATAGAGTTTGTACCTAAATTGGGCTGATTATTTTATTGTCTGTTTTGTAGTGAGATTTTGTGATTAGGATAATTAAATTATTTGTAAATTCCCTTGGACATCCAACAATGAAAAGAATTTGTAGACATGAAATTCAGAGTTCAAAAAGTATTTTTACATGGGATATGCCTGATCCATGCTGGAGAAACTGTAGAATCACAAATGAATATAAATTTTAATGTATTTGGTAGCAAATAAAAAAGAAAATCACACTAACTGAAGTGTATTTGAAAATGAAAAGCACCTAATCAATGTCATAAGTTAAAGCAAATTAGTTTAGGTTTTCGTATTGAAGTAAAAAACTTGGCATTGCATTCTAATAACTAAAATATTTTAGATTTTTTTTTAATTGTTTATTTTATATTTGATAGGATAAAATTCTTGGATTTGGTTTTGAAAATAGTATTCTAAAGTTAATAGATAGATAGATAGATAGATAGATAGATAGATAGATAGATAGATGGATAGAGGTAGATATACATTAGTTCGTTGTAAATGAAAAAAAAAAATCTCCAGTAAAAACTTTTGTTTGGGACATGCATAGAATCAGGATTTCCCTCCTCCTTTAAAAACCTTGAACAGATACCTTTAAAAGATCGGTGATATTGTAGTGAAAATTATACTCTACAGACTTCTAGATTTTGCTGCCACATTTTAAAGACAAGATTTCAACACTGACATGCCAAATACCTCCAGAAATTTCTCCAGAAATTAACATTAATCTATAAATACTGATGGAACAGGATGGAATGTACTTTTGTTCCTTCACACATGTGATGCCTGATATTTGAGTGAGAGTTTTCTGTCATATGATTCTTGAGTCCACTTGTATTTTAACTATTGCATTGTTGAAATTCTGATTATGTAGTTTTCAATATTAATGGATCATTCTGACAGAAATAGAATTTAAATTTAAGTCTGTCAAGCATTCATTTGTCACATTTAATTGGAATCTAGGTAATCTGCAGTGTTTGGCTATGTTAGGTTCTAATCAGGATTTATACTGGATTTTTATGAAGATTTTCCATAGAAACAGCATTTTGGAAGTGATTTTGGTTAAAAATTTTTGCTTCAAATATTTACCATTTAATTTCAATTGGTGTGAAACAATACAGTTATAACTAATTGTTTTGGATTTCCTTTCATTTTAGAATTTAAAATAAGAATCTCCAGCACAGCATATGAAACCTTCCAATATGTTTCCTTCTTATTTTTTCAAGCCCAGATGACTAAGTAATCTTTATAGTTAAGGCAAATTTAAGAAGCTTCAGTTCACAGGCAGATTATATAGGAAATTCAGCTTTCTATTTGCTGTTAGAAGCTTCTTTAAATTTTCTCAGTTGAGAATAAAACACTGGAAAACTGGAAAAAAGGGGTAAGGGCGTTGATTTTCTTAGAATATGGTGTACATTGCCCACCAGCCTACTGACTGTCAGATGTAGATTGAAGTTTTATTCTGCTGATTAGCTGTGGTGTCAGATGTGGGAGAAAAAAAAAAAAAGAAAGAAAAAAAGAAATGTTAGCAGATTGACTGTGAAAATTCAGTATGCAAAGATCTTGTTAATTAGTAAAATCTGCAGAACCAAAAGTAACTTCTGAGTTAATTTATCCCCTGCCCTTGGAGCTTTCCTTACAAGGAAATTCTGCTCATATGTGCAGCCTTCTCTGATTTTGCTGTTAGAATTGTACTGTCTTAATGTAAATTGCACAATAATTTTCTGAAGAACATTTCCATTACATACACATTTGTATATCAAGGGCAAATACATTACCATGCTAAATTAGTTTCCTGGTCTTTTGTCATAGCTTTCTAGTTCTGACCATGCCTAATATGACATCTCAAAAGAAAATTTAAGAAACTCTGTGACAGAAACTTCCAGAATTACCTCTCCTCCTGACCCTAACAGTTTATAGTCAGCATGTGATTTTCTAAATAATAATAATAGTAGTAGTACTAAAAACCCACTAATTTACCACAAGCCAAGTTACTGGCCTGAAGGATGTCTTTCAACAGCAAAATCCTCTGAAGGCTACCAAAATTGTTTGGTTTTGTTTATTTTTAACTCGTATTTAACTGTTCCAGTGACTATTCATTTTTTCATAATGAGAAGGACCATGAAAGCATTCCATTTTAGTTTTTAAATGTTATGGATTGTTATGTTTCCTTATAATTTTATTTTCCTTGGAATTATAAATCTTTCTAGAATATATTTCTTGTAGCAAAGGTAGGGATATCTGGACGTGTACTCTCACAATTTGAGAAATGGACAAGACAGTCTTTTCATACTAATTCCTATGTTATTAATTACAGATATGATCTTTAAGCAGAGCTTTCATTGTTCTGTTTCATTTCCCTTCACCTGGTTCTATTAGGTCTATCTCAGATTTCTTGCAGCTCTCAGAAATACTTAATTATATTCCTTCTCCCTACCCCTGATTTCTGCATATCTACAGTTTATTTATGCATGTAGTGGCCTAATCAGTTTTGTTTCTTGTTTAATTTAGCTAGAAGACCTATAGTGGTGTAACTGCAGCACTGCAGGTTATGGCTTGTATGATCTTCCCTCGAGATTTGTATCCAGGCAGTCCTAATTAAACTGTTTGCCACACCTGAGATACCTGCCTTCTAGCTCAGGTACTTCTACATGAACATGTCTTTGATCTGCAGCACAGAATTTTAAGTTAGCCCATGTTTCAGTATCAAATAGGGTTGGAGAAGAGCAGTCATCTCTGTGAAAGAAGGAATAAAAATGAATGGTTTACAGCTTCCATTTTTGCAGGGGGAAATGGAGTAAAGAAAGATTAAGTGTCATGTCTGAAGTCACAGATAAAGTAAGGAGTAGAGCTTAAAAAGGAGCTCAGAATTTTTGTGATTCAGTTACTTGACTCCCACAAAGAAATCAGTAGATAAATTACTCTCTGACTGACACATGAAGAAATAAAAGCCAGGGAAGAGAAGTGCATTACCTCGGTTGAAACAGTCTGATAACATGCTCTGTTTTCAATGACAATTTTAGATTTAGGTTGCAAGTGTCAAAGTTCCACCCTCAGTATAGAGAAGGGGTTCATGATGTATGAAATGAAGGCTTGAAAATGTGAATTTTGACAATTAATAAATGTAATTAATTTTATCTATAAGAACATTCTCTCACTTTTACTTGTGAAACAGATTCTTAATCCTTTTTCTGGACCAAAGTGTGAAGAAAAGAATCTATTAATTTAGAGAACCTGTGTTTACAGAATCTATTTTCCTTTAGCTTTTTGTAGGGCAAATGACACAGCTTAATGTTCTTGAGGACTTAACTGCACTTATTGTATAATGACAAACAGACACACATTGACTTATTTCAGAGAATGACTGCATTTTTGCAGTTTCCAATATTTTCAAATGTTCTTTCCTCTTGAATTCAGGTCCTAAAATTTCATGAGAGGAATTTTGTTTTAAAATTGTGTCCCAAAAATATTGATGTAAGTAGCCCATCTGAGAGGGTGAGTCAGTAAAGGATTTCAGTGTAGTGATTAGACAGTAACGGCTCCTTTTTTGT